AAAGGAAAAGAAGGAAGGAAAAGAATAAGAAAGGAGAAAGGAGGAGGAGGAGGGAGGAGGGAAAAGAAGAGGGAAGGAGAAAGGGTGAGAGAGGAGGGAAGAGAAAGGAGGAAAACGGAGAAAGAAAAGGAAAAAAGGAGAAGGAAGGAAAAGGAGGAGAAAAGGAGAAAATAGAAGAGGGAGGAGGAACAACGAGGAGAAAAAAAAAGGGAGACGAAAGGAGAAAGGAGAAAGGAGGGAGGAAGAGGAGGAGGAGGAGCCAGGGCTGTGGCTCACGTGGGGTCGTTGGCCAGGTTGAGGAACAGGCACACGTTCTCCATGGAGCCGTTCTGCTCAAAGTCCGACTTGAAGAACCGCGCCGTCTCCATGTTCACCTGCGGTGGGCGGGACACGCGGTGACACGTGGGGACACGAGGTGACACGGCGGGTCTGGGGTCACCTGGATGTCCCCTCGTGTCCCCAACTCACCCCCATGGCCGCGAAGACGATGGCGAAGTTGTCCTCGTGGAAATCCACCACGTCCTTGGATTTCTTCACCAGCCCGGCCTGGCGGCAGATCTGTGCCGCGATCTGAGGGCGGGGACAGGGACAGGGGTGGCAGCAGGGACACCCCAGGGTGGCCACGGCACCCCTGGGACACGGGGGGGGGGGGGTGTAGTGGGGTGTCCCTCCCTCGCTGTGTCCTGCCCTGCCCGTGGTCAGGGATGGTTTCCATCACATTATCCCATCCCATCATCCCATTCCATCCCATCCCATTATCTCATCTCATTCCATTATCCTATCCCATTCCATCCCGTTATCCCATCCCATTATCCCTTCCTATTATTCCATCCCATCCCATTATCCCATCCCATCATCTCATCCCCCTCTGGAATTCCCAGCCCCTCCCTCTCCGTCCCCTCTGTCACAGCCACACTCATGGGGACATTAAAGGATCTGGAATTCCCCAATCCCTGGATTTCGGGACCCCAGATCCTCCCCCACAGGGATTCCTGCACCAACAGGGAAACTGAGGCACGAGCCGCCGGCAGCTTCCCGACACCAGGAGAGGGGATCCAACATTCCCAAATCCCTTCACCCTCCTCGCCCCACAGTCCCACCTCGTTGTGGGGCAGCCCGGCCGCAGAGAAGATGGGAATTTTCTGCCCGCGGGCGATGCTGTTCATGACGTCGATGGGAGAGATCCCGGTCTGGATCATCTCCTCGGGATAAATGCGACCGTGGGGGTTGATGGGCTGGCCTGGAGCGGGAAAAGGAGCAATCGTGGAATGGTTGGGGTTGGAAGGAGCTTCCGGTCCCACCCAGGGAGATTTCCCAACATCTCGGGGTGCTCCAAGCCCTTGGACACTTGCAGGGATGAGGGGGAAAGGGAGGCAGGGATGGTCCTGGCTGGTGGGAAAATTTGGGGAGAAAGTTCTGGAGATGAGCAGGGAGGAGATTTGGGGTGGGATGGGAAATATCCCAGCACGTGGGCACCCTACTGGAACACCTGGGAGGGGATGGATGGATGATGGATGGATGTGGTGACACCACAGGGCCATGGTGACCATCAGGCCATTGTCACCCCCAGTTCCAGGCTGTCCCCAAGCCCCTCCCACATTCCCAAAAATCCGGAGCTGTCACCGTTGATGTCCAGGAAGTCCTCGGCCATCACCGGGGGGCCGCTGTCGATGGGTTTGGCGGAGCCATTGAACACCCGGCCTGTGGGGACACAGGGACTGTCCCTGCCCGGGGCCACCAACCAGGGGTGGCACCTGACAGTCCGGTGGCCCCAGGTGAGTGTCCCCATCCCGATCCAGGACACCCCACCCACCCCCAGTGGGGACACAGGGACTGGGAACTGTGGGTGTGGGGCAGGAAGTGTCACACAGTCCCTGTGACAGGGAGATGCCAGCACGTGGGGACAAGGTCCCCATGTCCTCATGACCCTGTCCCCGTGTCCCCGTGTCCCCATCACCCTGTCCCCGTGTCCCCATCACCCTGTCCCCGTGTCCCCATCACCCTGTCCCCGTGTCCCCGTGTCCCCAGCCGTTTCCCTCTTGCAGCCCCCCTCTCCTGGATGAGCGGGGTGGCACCAAACCCCCCTCACAGTGTCCCCAGGGAGGGGACACGGCCGCACCGCTCCCTCTCAGCCTCATCGACCGCCTCAGAGCCGCGGTGGCATCGATCGCGACAAAGCCACGGCTCCCTCCTGTCCCCTCCCCGCCCCCCCACGGGACACGGTGGCGGTGCGGGGACACGGTGGCGATGTCACAGCGCATCAGGGTGATGGCAGCGCCGAGCGCCGAGCGGGAAAGGTCAGCGGGCACGACAGCGGCGACTCCCGGGGGACACCGAGAGCGGGAGGGAGGGGACAGACACAGAGTGGGGGGACAGACACCGGGAAGGGACAAACACCGGGAGGGGGGGGGACAGACACCGGGAAGGGACAGGGCCACCCCCTGGCCGACCCCGAGTGACAACCGGGGACTGGGGGGGTGCTCTGGTGGGGTTTGGGGGGCTCGGACACCCCCGGGGATTGTGGGGGACAATGGGGGCTCACAGCGGGATCGCAGAGGGGTTTGGGTGGGAAGGGACCTCAATTGCCATGGATGTCACCTCGCTGCCATGGGGACACCTTCCACTGGCCCAGGTGGCTTCAAGCCCTGTCCAGTCTGACCTGAGACAGTGCCAGGGGTTCGGGTGACACTTTCAGGGATGGGGTGACGCCATCAGGGATGGGGTGACAGCGCCGGGAATGGGGTGACACCTCACCTGGAATCCGTCCCCAGCCCATCCCAAACTCTTTTTCCCGGGATAACCGCGCAGAGAGGACGCGGGGAGCGCTCCCGCCCTGCCTGACGCGACAGTCACAGCTCGGAGGTCACCCAGCCATGCCCTCAGCCCCAGAGCTGAACCCCAAAACACCCAAAATCCCCTCAACCCCCCCCCAAATTTCGGTGCCACCCGTGGCCGGAGCCGTGGCCGGCCTCACCCAGCATGTCCTCGGACACCGGCGTGCGCAGGATGTCCCCGGTGAACTCGCAGGTTGTCGCCTTGGCATCGATGCCAGATGTGCCCTCAAACACCTGCAGAGAGCCCGGGCCGCGGCGTGGGGGCAATTAACAGGGATTAATTAAGGTTTTGAAAGGGGTGACGTGACCCCCGCTCACCCGGGGGGAGGGGACGAGCGCCGGGGTTAAAAACAAATCCTGAGGGGTTTGAGGGGGGGGATATTTTTGGGGGGAGGTCCGTGAATGCCGCACCCCCGGGGAATTCTTTTGATCAGGGTAATATTTGACATCATTTGCGTTAATTAGCCCCCGGCTCGCTGCTTTAATTAGAGCCGGGTGGCCCCGGGGAGCAGGGGGAAGGTGGCGATGGTGACAGGTGACGCTCGGAGCCCCCCAGGTGGCTGCGGGTCACCCTCAACAACGCCGAGGCTGCCAAAAACTCCTTTCCTCCCTTTTTTCCCTTCCTTTTATCCCTTTTTTTCCCTCCCTGCCCGAGCCTGACTCCCTAATAGGATTAAAAGGGCATCCCCGAGGCACAGGTGACATTAGAGCGGCGATTTTGGGGCAGCTGCGCCGCCCCCCCCCGAGCCCCAGGGGGGCCGTTTTGGGGGGGGGGGGATCCGGGCTAATCAGTTGGGATTTGACCCCAAATTTGACCCCAAACAGGCGCAGGGCTCGAGGGTTTGGGGACACCCCAGTAGCCGCTGCTATCGCGGGGTTGGTGGCTTTGGGGGGGTTGGTGGCAGCGGGATGGGGTCAGTGTGGGGTGAGGGGGGGGGGGACACGGCCTGTCCCAGGACCCTGCCCAGGACACTCCTGACCCCCCAGGACACCCCTGGCCACCCCCAGGACACCCTTGACTATTCCAGGACATTTCTGGCCACCCCAGGACACCCCTGGCCACCCCAAGACACTGTCCCCTGTCCTAGGACACCCCATATCATCCCAGGACACTTCTGGCCATCCCAGACCAGCCCGGGACACCCCTGACCATCCCAGGACACTGTCCCCTGTCCCAGGACACTGTCCCCTGTCCCAGGACATTTGTTCAAGGACACTGTCCCCTGTCCCAGGACACCCCTGGCCATCCCAGGACTCCAGTCCCGCCTCTCAAGAGCGCTGGGACACGAGCCCGACAGCCACCACTGGAGGGGGACAGAGCCCTGGGACAGAGCCCTGGGACAGAGCCCGCAGCCCCCGCGTGTCGCGATGTCACCGTGTCACCAGGCTCACCTGGACGATGGCCTTGGAGCCCATCACCTCCAGCACCTGCCCGCTGCGGGTGGTGCCGTTGGGCAGCGTGAAGTTCACGATCTCGGCGTACTGGGCGAACTGTGGGGACAGCGACACGGACAAATGTGGTGGTGGCATTGTCGCCCCGTGTCACCTCAGCCCGCCCCTTGTCCCCCCAGCCCCCCGCCGGTGCTGCCTCAGTTTCCCTTCCTTTGGTCCTGAAGCCACCAAACTTCCTGGGGACTTCAGGATGGGGGAAAAGGGGGGTGGGGACACCGGGCGGCAAGGTGGTGGCGGGGAGGTGGCACTGCCTGTCCCTGTCACTGCGCCGTGCCTCAGTTTCCCCGCCGCCCAGGGGCCGCTCCCAAACAGGTGACAACGAGCGTCAGAGCCACCAGGCTGCCACCACCTCCCAGGCGGAGGCCACAGGCACGGGTGGCACTCATGGGGACACCACGGGGAGGGGACTTTTGTGATGAGGGGACACGTCCTGCTCTGGGGACAATGCCAGTGTCGCTCCTGCCCGGCACGCTCAGGGCTCTCCTGCTCCTCATTCCCGGCTCCAGCCCCGGGAACTTTGGACTTTAATTCCTCCGGATTAAAAAAAAAAAAAACTTTGGATAAAGAGCGAGCGAGCCCGAAGAGCCACGAGCCGGGTCTTTGATGAGCTGATTAATTAATAAAAGGCAGGGGCCAGGGAAACGCGACAGCGGGTGACAAAATCCCTCCGGGGGTCACCCAGGAGAGCGGGGAGAAGGGACAGGGAGGTGACACCGAGGGGACACGGGGTTTGTGGAGGGGACACGCTCAGAGAAGGGTCCCTGGGGGAGCTGGGGAGGGGACAGAGAGGGGAAAGGGGACAGGGGATGGGGGACAGGGGACAGAGCTGGGAAAGGAGACAGGGGATGGGGGACAGGGGACAGGGACAGGAGCCAGAGCTTGGTCAGGGACACGGGGACATGGGGACACGCCACCCAAGCGTGCAGGCGGGGACAGGGCTCTGCTGCCGACCGCGTCCAGAGGAGGGAGCTCGGACCCAGGAGAGGAGGGGACAGCCCAGGGGACAAGGGACAGGAACAGCCCAGGGGACAGGGGACAGGAGGGATGGGACAGAGGACAGGTAGCACGGAGTGCGGGACACACTCCCCCCATTGCACCCCGGGGTCCCCACACAGCCCCAGGTGACACCGCCAAGCTGTCCCCATGTCCCCAAAGTCCNGCACGGAGTGCGGGACACACTCCCCCCATTGCACCCCGGGGTCCCCACACAGCCCCAGGTGACACCGCCAAGCTGTCCCCATGTCCCCAAAGTCCTACCTTGACATTGTCCAGCACCACCAGCGGCCCGTTGACCCCGCACACCGTCCTGTAGGCTGGGGGAGGGGACACCGTCAGTCCCCAGGGCCACCCGGGGGTGCCATCCCCACATCGTGTCCCTTCCCGTGTCCCATTCCCCGTCCCTGTGACACCCCGAGTGACCAGTGGTGGCCGAACTGGACACCCGGAGTCTCTGTCCTGCAGGAAATGTCACTCAGGGGTTGTGTCACCTTCTGGAGGTGTCCCCTTGTGCCCGGCAGGGATGTCACAGCTGGGAATGCCACCAGGGCCAGCAGGAAAGTGTCCCCTTGTCCCCAGCGGTCACCCCTTGCCCGAGGATCCTGCCTGGCCCGGGGTGACATTGGGGAAATGAGGGAGAGAGCCCGAGGGGACAGCGAGGGCACAGGGGGTGACAAAGGGGGACGGGGTGACAAACGGGGGGTGAGGGCGGGTAGGAACCCAGGGAGAGGCAGCAAATCCCGGGAATGTCGGGGTTGGGATCGGATCCTGGGAGTGCTGAGATTGGGATTCATCCTGGGAGTGCGGGGGTTGGGATCGATTATGGGAACTCCGGGATTGGGATCGGATCCCGAGAACGCTGGGATTGGGATCAATCCTGAGAATGTCGGCATTGGATGCTGGGAATGAGGGACTGGGATGGGATCCTGGGAATGCCGGGGTTGGGAACGGATCCTGGGAACGCCGGGGTTGGGATCGGATGCTGGGAATGCCGGGGTTGGATCCTGGGAACTCCGGGATCGGCTCCCGGCGGGTGTGCGGGAACTGATCCGGCTCTAAGCCGAGCCTTGATGAGCCCAGGAAGTGTCAAAGCCCCGAGCGCTGCCCCGGCCCCGCTGACCCCGCCGGGCCCTTTCATCCTCTGCCCCCTCTCCTCACTCCGGGCTCTGCCATTCCCACCTGATCCTAATAGGATCGGAGAGGCCGGGCCAGCTGCAGGGCTCCCCGCTCCCCTCCCCCCTGCGCCGATGGGGGTCCCTGGATGTCCCCGTGCTGATGGTGGCATTGTCCCCCCGCTGGGACAGCCCCAGAGATTTCATTCCTAGCGACATTCCTCTCCCCTGCTTTTCCTCCCCTCCCCTCTCCAGACCCTCCATCTTCCTCATCCTCTTCCTCCCCTTTCCACCTCCATCATCCATTTCCTCCTCTCTCCAACCTTTCCATCCTCTTCCTCCCCATTCCAGCTCTTCCACACTCTTCCCTCTCCCACCCTCCCATCCTCTTCTTCTCCATCTCTCCCATCCTCTTCCTCCTCTCTCCAGCCCCATTTCCCTTCTCTCTCTCGGAGCACTGTGGGGTCACCCCATGGCACGAGGGGACCCTCGGTGTCCCCTCCCCTCAGCCAGGGCACAGCACGGGCAGTGATCCCGGACAATTCTGCAATGGGATCAG